AAGATGCCAATGCCTGAACCTGAAGCTAACTGAAGAATCGGCTAAAGTGAGGACATCACTGGATCCCTGAAAAGGTAAACGTCCTGATGTTAAAAGTCAGCAGCTACAGTATTTGTAGTTGATGACTTTTAATTTTCTGGAAGGAGACTGGAGCTCCTCTTTAATATGTTTTTTTCTTTTCTTTTTTTTTTGAGAGGGGGTCTGACAGTCTTTCCACAAACTATTTAAAACCAAAAATGGGCACATATACAATGTTTTTATTGGTAATTTTGCTAAATTGTAATAATTTAAAAGTAAATGCTCAGATTTTCATATAAATTCAAACTCATGCCTGTTTACAACATGAAAATTAAATAGCTAAGCTTTATAGGGAATAGCGAAGAGTAGTTCAGTTTTTATTTCTGTACTTCACCAACTCATCCAACTCCCACTGTAATCTGTAGAACACACCTGTTAATGATTCTGAATCATACTTGCTGGTCATGCTGGAAGACACATGCTGGTTATCTTGAAACACACTGGCTGGTGATCCTGGAACCATCGTAAATGTGATGCTGGAACACATCTGCTGGGGATGTTGAAGCACACACTAAGGTGTCTTACAGAAAACAATCAGATTTAGCCTTGCTTTTGACATTTATTGAGCCGAGTGCATTATGTGTTGTTTCCAGGGGCGGACTGACCATTTGGAAACTCGGGCACTGCCCGAGGGCCTGGGTCAGTAGGGGGCCCCATGAGATGCCTCTGGTACCTTTTTCATAGGCTTTTTTGAGTTTGGGCAAGGACACAGGGGCCCCATGATCCCCTATTGCCCGGGGGCCCCATGAGTTGTCAATCCGCCCCTGGTTGTTTCCTTCACACTTAGAAATTAATCTGATTATTGTTATGAATTAAATAACACTGGGGCCACATCAGAGAAGTGGGCAAAGCCTGTTTATTGAGTTCATAATGAAGGACAGACAGATCGATCAGATGGACCAAGTGCTCCTTCCATTAAGCAAAACACATTGGAATAGATATTAGCTTACCATGGTGAATTTTGTTTTTCGGTGACTGTAACACTTTGCAAAATGCAATTTAAAAAAAAAATCTGTTCGACCCATAATGTTACACTCCCACTATATACATAATACCACAACTTGTCACCCACAGAACCATATAAATAGAAGCTGAGTAGCATTTCCTCTTTTGTTCCAATTAAGAATACCTCACCAAACTTTAATATTAAATGGAAACAAATCTTTCTGACAGTTCTTTTTTTAGATATATAAATGTGATTGTGAAGGTATAATGAAGAAGATCTTACCAATGCGTGTTAATGCTTTAAAATGCTTTTTTGTATGATCTTTAATTATACATATATATACATGGGGGCAATCATATTTGCTCATTACATTTATAGGCCCTTGTCCTTCTAGTATGGCCCAATGACTGTGCTTTGCTGCTCCTCCAACGAGTCATGCCTTGACCTGCTAAAAAAAAATACACCATCAGTAGCAGCCATTCTCAATCATGGTTTTGTAGAACCCTACGTTCCAGAGGTTGTTAGGGGTTCCTTGAGCTGTAGCTGATTGACTTCTCATCTGAAGGTACCTGATTAGTTCTGGGGCCAACACCACTTGGCAGAGCCACCTCCATGACACCAATAATCTTCTTAACTGTCCTTAATGGTAGTATTGTGACCACAACTGTAAGAGTGTCATTCTTCCTACTGACCACCACTGTAAGGATTTCATTCTTCCTACTGTCCATCGCTGTAAGGGTGTCATTCTTCCTACTGTCCACCAGTGTAAGGGTTTCATTCTTCCTACTGACCACCACTGTAAGGGTTTCATTCTTCCTACTGACCACCACTGTAAGGGTTTCATTCTTCCTACTGACCACCACTGTAAGGGTTTCATTCTTCCTACTGACCACCACTGTAAGGGTGTCATTCTTCCTACTGACCACCACTGTAAGGGTTTCATTCTTTCTACTGACCACCACTGTAAGGGTTTCATTCTTCCTATTGACTACCAATGTAAGGGTTTCATTCTTCCTACTCACCACCAGTGTAAGGGTTTCATTTCTTCCTACTGACCACCACTGTAAGGGTTTAATTCTTCCTACTGACCACCACTGTAAGGGTTTCATTCTTCCTACTGACCACCAGTGTAAGGGTGTCATTCTTCCTACTGACCACCAGTGCAAGGGTTTCATTCTTCTTACTGTCCACCACTGTAAGGGTGTCATTCTTCCGACTGTCCACCACTGTTAAGGGTTTCATTCTTCCTACTGACCACCACTGTAAGGGTTTCATTCTTTCTATTGACCACCAATGTAAGGGTTTCATTCTTCCTACTGTCCACCACTGTAAGGGTATCATTTTTCCTACTGACCACTACTGTAAGGGTTTCATTCTTCCTACTGACCACCACTGTAAGGGTTTCATTCTTCCTACTGACCACCACTGTTAAGGGTGTCATTCTTCCTACTGCCCACCACTGTAAGGGTTTCATTCTTCCTACTGACCACCAGTGTAAGGGTTTCATTCTTCCTACTGACCACCACTGTAAGGATTTCATTCTTCCTACTGACCACCACTGTAAGGGTGTCATTCTTCCTACTGACCACCACTGTAAGGATTTCATTCTTCCTACTGTCTACCAGTGTAAGAGTGTCATTCTTCCTACTGACCACCACTGTAAGGGTTTCATTCTTCCTACTGACCACCACTGTAAGGGTTTCATTCTTCCTATTGACCACCAATGTAAGGGTTTCATTCTTCCTACTGACCACCACTGTAAGGGTTTCATTCTTCCTACTGACCACCAGTGTAAGGGTTTCATTCTTCCTATTGACCACCAATGTAAGGGTTTCATTCTTCCTACTGACCACCAATGTAAGGGTTTCATTCTTCCTACTGACCACCAATGTAAGGGTTTCATTCTTCCTATTGACCACCAATGTAAGGCCCTTTTTCCCAGTAACCCCCAATTAATTGGTCTTAGCTGGAGTTCCTCACAAGAGGAAAATTATTTTAAGGCCCCTTTCACACAAGCGGACTGATGAGGTCTGCCTGCCCGTTTTCAGGGGGACTCAGTCGGTCACAGGAAAACAGACAGAGACCTGTCGTCCGCCTGCTCAGCGGAAAGATCCACCGCTGAGCAGGCGGATCACGCTGACGGAACCGCCCCGTCTGAAAGGGGCCTTAGGGTTCCTCCATATTAAAAAGGTTGAGAAAGGCTGATCTATAGGCTTACTGTAAATGAGTGAAAATAGGAGTCTCTAGTCAAATATAACTTTCAGGTAAAAGTTACATTAAGTCAAATTGTGTTCATACTAAAAATACACTGTAGTCCCTATTTAAATCAGAACTCTGGGCATTAACACCTCCCCCCCCCCCCTTCAAGGAATCGCTATGCTAAGTGGTTGTAAACTCTCACATATACTCAGCCAAGTGACTGGCCTCAGGTGATACACAGAGATGGAACAAATCTTCCTACATAAGGTGTACCTTTTTATCTACACCCATATCTTCCCTACACCCAAAGTGCAGAATTTAAACAGGATCTCTCAGCTCTGAAAAGTAGAGGGCGGAGAGCTGAGGTTACATCAGTAAGGAGAGCCTTGAGAGCTGATTGGAAGGAAGAGACACACCCCTCTTCACACAGCAAACAGTAACAGAGCTAAGGCTGTCATTCACAGTCTGTGCCCTCCCCGTCACCATTTATCTCTTGGTGTCAGGAAAACCCTTCATAAGTGACTCATACTGATAGCAGAGGAAATAGGCAGCTGCCAGAAATGACACCTAGCCCTCTGGATTGAGACAAGTACACACTATACAGGGATAAGCTTTGTTCAAATTTCATGTCTGAGGTTTACAACCACTTTAAAGTTCTAAAAGAACATACTCACTTCCCAGTATTTATAGTGTTTCAATAAAGTTTATTTGCACCAGAGAGAACCTAGATCCCTCCATAGCCCATGTTCTATCTATTCTGAGGTCACGATGTCTGCTGCTATGTTCTTTTAGAACTTTACTGCAAGTGAATGAGAAATGTGGTGGACCTCAGGTGGATGCTGGGCTCAACTTTGAGTGGTTCCTATTGTTGGATTTGAATAATTGCTTTGCTAGCATGGAAGCAAATTCTAAACTAAAAGTCTTCCATCATCTTCACTACAAAGGAGGAGGATCAGACAATAATAGCTGTCCAGGGATGGGTCCTCCCTGGCTCTAGAAGATTGCTCTTGTAAAATCCGAGAAGTGACCAATCGGACTGCAGTGATGGATCACTGATCTTCACCAGCAAATGCTACACATTGTGGACTTTAGTGAATAAAAACAGCTTCAGAAAGCTGCTAAAAACATTTTGAATGGGTGGAAGCTGGGTCGGGGGATGATTGCTAATGCCTGGAGATGGCCTTTAAATCTTTCCCTACGTCTACTTACACTTGCCCCACATTTCTTGTACTTGGGCATACCACACCTACTTATATGAAGCCCCACTCCTCTAAAAACAAGAACTGGCTCAAAACACAGGTATGCTTTTACATATTGGTAGTCAATATTTTTTTTTTCCATAACAGTTAACACGAGGTACAAATTTTCATAAGTGGCAAACGATTACCAAACTAAATGATATCACAATTTGATGGCGATTGTCGAATCTGAAGCTTCAAAATGATATTGATCCTTATGTAAACCTTGGAAACTGAGGACAATGCACATTCAATATAGGTCATGTCGTCCCAAGTATCTATTTAGAAATTTTGTAAGTTTCGCAAATGCATTTTCCACCCAACAGTCTGTTCAAGTGTTTTTTTTTGTGTCTAGTATGTTGTAGAGATGCCACAGGTCATCACAAATGAATGTTAATGACTTAAATAAATATCTATTAAATATCAAAACACAATTCACAATAAAGCATCATCACTTGGAGTAGGCACTGTATAGCATGTCTTTTGGAGGTTTCCTTCAAATTAAGTCAAGTTCACCAAAATGAAACCACACCGAATTGTTACAGGATGCCCTCATGTCTCTCCGTGACTTTCAGAGCTTCATGCATGCTAGCAGCCGACAGCCTCCGATTGATATTGGTGTATTTACACCTCAGCAAGTTCCAGAACGTAGTCCTTAAATCCCTGTTAAAGAAGGCATAGATCAATGGGTTTATGAGCGAGTTAGTGTAGCCCAACCACAGAAGTGTCCTCTCCAGCCTGAGCGGCATGCAGCTGCACCTAATCCCACAGATGAACGGCCGGGCTGTAGATAACAGGAAAAACGGGAGCCAGCATAACGTGAAGGCCCCAACAATGATTCCGAGAGTCCTTGCAGCTTTCTGTTCCCGCTTGAAGATGGAAATGTTCTTTCTGTCTTGACGTATTAGCTTCGACAAGGTGGCAAACTCTTCCACTGCTTTCTTTTTTTTGGAATTCTTTTTAGGAGCCATTTTCTCCTCCAAACTGTATATGCCTTCCTGCTCCATAAGTCTGGGGATGTTCACAAATTTGTGCTTCTCAGCACTGATTTTAGCTGCTACAAAAATCCTCTGATACATTATGAGCATGACGGTCATGGGGATGTAGAAGGCCACTGCAGTAGAGTAGACGGTATAGCCAAAGTCTTGACTTATGAGACACGTCCGGTCCACAGTCACATTTTGGGCCCATCCAAAGAGAGGAGGGAGGGTTATGGAGGCAGAGAGGAGCCAGACGATGAACACCATCTTAGCCATGAGCTTGCCATTTTGTCGAGCAGGGTAGGTCAAGGGACGAGTGATTCCGAGGTACCTGAGAAACAAAATCAAATGTTTAGAACTTGAAGACCTCACGGTATAAAAATAAAGAGTTAATTTTGTACATTTTTTTATAGGCAATGTCTGCACGTATAAACCCAATTATTTTTTATAACACTTGTTATTTGTTTGGTATGAATAAGAAAGGGTAGTGGTTTTGTTGACAAGTTTTGTTGGACAAGTTTTGTGGAAGGCAATTTTTCTACGAGCCTGGGGTTTCTGTAGGGGATGATATGATCTGACACCAGATGGCTAATTCACACAGTGTGCGGTGACAGACGTTTTATACTGCATTGTAAAACATTTGTCACAGCAATGACATACAGAAAACAATTATTTCCTATGTTCCATTCATACTGCAATTCAGTCTAGGGCTGTGCTGCAGCATGCTGCATGTTATCGCACCACACCATGCCATATCGCATGGCAATGTACAGCAGCACAGTGCACTGGGGTGTTGTACATTGCCATGAATGAAATGTATATTTTTACACTTTAAATCAAGTTTGTACAAAAAAAAAAAGGGAGCCGTGTGATGCGCTGAATCACGCACCACACTGCTCCTTACCACACCCGGGACCAGATAGCTGTCAGAGTGGTGAAGCACTCCCTGTTCCCTTGTGAATTCACTATGCTTCCTAACAGGCCACAGACTGGTAACGGTCCACGACCTGGGGGTAACCGACCTCTGCTGTAAGGGATTCAAATCTATCTAAAGCCAAAATGGATTTTTTCCATTGGATCAAAGAATGATTCAAATACCCTGTCAGTGTTCTGCAAACACAACAGGAAGTGAGAGTAAATCTCTCCAAAGTTTGGGGAAATTTCCTCCTAGACAGCAGACACTAGTATAGTGGAAGATTTCCACTCTTTCCCTGTTCTGGTGATAACTTACAACCAGGGGCGGACTGACCATTTGGAAACTCAGGCACTGCCCGAGGGCCCGGGGTCAGTAGGGGGCCCCATGAGATGCCCCTGGTACTTTTTTCATAGGCTTTTTTGAGTTTGGGCAAGGCCACAGGGGCCCCATAATCCCCTTTTGCCCGGGGGCCCAATGAGTTGTCAGTCTGCCTCTGCTTACAACTTTGCATTTCACTTTCAGCCACCAGGACAAATAGAGAGAGAGAGTATCTTCTTAGTGGCACACAGACAGCAACAAAAACTTGACAGAGGTTATAACCCTTCACCGCTCTATCCTTTAATCTAATGACTTTAGGGCTTTCTGACTTTAAAGCGGCTCTTCAGTCATTGTTACAAAAATTAAAAGTTAGCAGCTACAAAAACTGTAGCTGCTGACTTTTAATAATAGGACCCTCACCTGTCCCAGGATCCAGCGCTGTCCTCCCCCAGCTGGGCTTCGGTCCCCAGTGCCACCATACTGTGGACAGCCAGCTCTGACTGCTTGTGGCTTCACAGGTGGCCACCCACTATGCATGCGGAAGTCATGCTGCACTACCTCAATGGTCCTGCAGTCTTCTGGGAATTATGACACATCCCAGAATGCTGCGAGGAAAGAGGGATTGGATATCTGTCAAAATCAGGTCCGCTCCCCCCCTAAAAAAAGAAAGTGCCAAATGTGAAAGGGGGGGGGGGAAGAGATAGAGTGAAACTTCCCCCTTATGGTAGTTTCGCTTTAAGGTAGTCATAGTGAATCAATATGGCAGTTGGACTTTTGGGCACCATCTGACCACATATTGAATGTTTTCTAGTTCAATAGCTCAATTAACTGACAAACCATACTGAATTGTGATACTTTTTTTCCCAAAGTACACCCATACACAAGGAATGAATTCATATTACGATCAATAAACATGACCTATTTATCAAAAGTTTGCTCAGTTTTGCACAGCCGACACTAATAATCATTGTATTACCCCTAATGACCCCATTATGACTCTTTAAAGTGGAGGTTCAGTCAAAATAAAAAAAAAAAATAACAAAAACTATAGCTGTATTAAAAAACAGAAATATATAAAAAATAAATAAAAGTCGGACAGGAATCAAGTTAGGATCTGTGGTAAGAAGATCTTGCTTCTAGAACCCCTAAAGAAAGTTGTGAAGCCACTAGACATTCACTAGACTCCTCCAATAAATGACCTACCACAAAAGCCGCAGTTATACGTGATTTGACTCTACATTAAAACCATGAAGGGGCCCTCCATCCTTCCAGTCTCCCATCTCAAAAGGTCATTACCAAAGGTAATACCAAGTACAAATAGATTTCATAGCAATCGAATAGAGGTATTTATGCATTTATTTACCCATGTGTATTTGCCTGATACTTTTGCTACTTATACAGTTGTGTCCAAAATTATTCAACCCCCACTGAAATTGAGTGTTTTGGCCAGTTTGACATTGCTTTTGATCATTCAGTCATCTTGCTTACATTTACATTAAAGAGGCACTTGTAGGTCAGACAAATATAACATAACAGTTATAATGAAATAACCACAAATGTCTTTTCTGTGCTCACAGCATTATCAGTTTTATTCAACCCCCAAGTGACATTCAATCTTAGTACTTAGTACAGCATCCTTTTACAGTTATAACAGCTTTTAAACGTGAAGCATAGCTTGACACAAGTGTCTTGCAGCGATCTACGGGTATCTTCGCCCATTCTTCATGGGCAAAGGCCTCCAGTTCAGTCACATTCTTAGGCTTGCGCACTGCAACTGCTTTCTTTAAGTCCCACCAGAGGTTCTCAATCGGATTTAAGTCTGGTGACTGCGATGGCCACTCCAAAATGTTCCAGCCTTTCCTCTGCAACCATGCTCTAGTGGACTTGGAGGTATGCTTGGGATCATTGTCCTGTTGAAAGGTCCAACGTCTCCCAAGCCTCAGGTGTGTGACGGACTGCATCACGTTTCCATCCAATATCTCCTGGTACTGAAGAGAATTCATGGTACCTTGCACACGCTGAAGCTTCCCTGTACCTGCAGAAGCAAAACAGCCCCAAAGCATGATTGACCCTCCACCATGCTTCACAGTAGGCAAGGTGTTCTTTTCATCATAGGCCTTGTTCTTCCTCCTCCAAACATAGCGTTGATCCATGGGCCCAAACAGTTCTAATTTTGTTTCATCAGTCCACAGAACACTATCCCACAACTTTTGTGGTTTGTCCACATGGCTTTTGGCATACTGCAGTCGACTCTTCTTATTCTTTGGAGACAGCAAGGGGGTACGCCTGGGAGTTCTGGCACGGAGGCCTTCATTACGCAGTGTGCGTCTTATTGTCTGGGCTGAAACTTCTGTACCCACATCTGACAAATCTTTTCTCAGTTCCTCAGCAGTCACACGGGGACTTCTCTCCACTCTACGCTTCAGGTAGCGCACAGCAGTCGAAGTCAGCATCTTCTTTCTGCCACGACCAGGTAGCGTTTCAACAGTGCCCTTTGCCTTGAATTTGCGAATGATGCTTCCTAAGGTGTCTCTTGGTATGTTTAACATCTTTGCAATCTTCTTATAGCCATTGCCCTTCCTGTGAAGAGAAATCACCTCTTCTCTTGTCTTCCTGGACCATTCTCTTGCCTTCACCATGTTTGTAACCACACCAGTAAATGTCTAGAAGGAGCTGAGTATCACAGTCATTTTAAAGCTGCCTAATTGGTGCTTATTATGCTTGATTGCTGCTCGGTGACATCCACAGGTGTTTTCAATACCTGATGGAAAGCACCTGTATGAACCTCTGTTCTTCAGAGTGGTAGTCTTTAAGGGGTTGAATAATTGTGGCAATGAAGAAACCACATAAGAACCATTTACTACTGTATTACATAAACAATTGATGTCATTTTAGTTGCATTTGGGTAGTTACAACGTCCTTGTAGGATTTGATTCTGAATACAATTCCAAATGTACACTATAGTCCCTAAACCCCTTTACAGCATTGGGGGTTGAATAATTTTGGACACAACTGTATATCACAGAGTAGCTGACACAAAATTTCCTCTTTGAATATATTTATCAATAGCCACAAAGAATATAAAACCACTTTATGTGCACCTAATTCATTCACAAACCCAAATATTACCTTATATATAACCTTTTTGTGATATAATAAATTAATTCCAAATCATAACAAAATAAGTTAAGTTAAGAAATCATAAAATATATACCAAGAAATATAAAATAGAAATAGAAATAATGAAAATACAAAACTCCCCAAATCCAAAAGTGTCCAATAATAAATCCAAAAATAAATCCAAAAACAGTGTCCAAAATTCCAATCTTATTCTCCAAATACGAAAGTTGACCTCTATTTCATCCAAAACATACATGTTAAAACCAGATTATCAACTCCAGACATGGTTTCAATCTGTTCCCACCAAACATTTCCTAAACCATGTGGTGATAACCTTAAAAATGGCCGCGGCGACACTTCCGGTCTGTGTACGTGCGTCTTGACGTCACTCCTTTAACACGTTTCGTCACTTCCGGACTTCATCTGAAAGGATCCTTTCAGTGTCGCCGCGGCCATTTTTAAGGTTATCACCACATGGTTTAGGAAATGTTTGGAATTTTGGACACTGTTTTTGAACTTATTTTTGGATTTATTATTGGACACTTTTGGATTTGGGGAGTTTTGTATTTTCATTATTTCTATTTCTCTTTTATATTTCTTGGTATATATTTTATGATTTCTTAACTTATTTTGTTATGATTTGGAATTAATTTATTATATCACAAAAAGGTTATATATAGTTTATTACACTTTCTAGGGTGGAAAGTATTAACTTTTTGAGGGGATAAAAAAGGAGGGTACACATTTAACCAAATATTACTTTGTAAAAAAGTAGAAATGACATCATCATTCTGCTGTACAAGTAAGAATACACACAATGAATGACATGCAGACAGGGACAGGTGCACGGATCCGAATGCAGAGCTTCTGCTTTCAGATCTCTGGACCCACTCCCGCCCGCATGTCAAACTTTGACATGTGA